TTTTTAGCCTTCGAGAGCTAACTATGGCCATCGAGGACTACGAAGCGTCCCGTGGGTGTTTTTAGCATGATAAAAAGTAAAGTAAATGTCCGTCGAGCCATAAGCAATTTACTCTGAGCAGCTAATCGGATGCTACGGATCTAGCTTCAGTATCTACACACATAGACAGTGAGGTCTATGTGGCCTCTTGGCCAATCGGAGGCCAGGATGATGCTCGGTAAGCCAATAGCAGAGCAGCTATGAGTATGTTGAGCCCAGGAAACTCGCAGCTGTGACCGAAATAAACATCGTTCACTATGTAAACCAGTGTGGTGGTTGCTGTTGCCTTTTTTCGAACGAAGCAGTAGAGGTCGCTGTTGGATAAGACTTCGTTGTAGTGAATGTCTTCGCGAGGCTGGAGCAGACAAAATGATTTCGTATAACGCAACAGGGGTTTTTCGTCGTATGGGGGGCAGGAGAATGGGAATTGTGTTAACGCATGAAGATTTTTTCACATAAGGGGGTATTTTCGCCCATGCAGGTTTCGTTCTAGAGGAGTTTCACTGTACACGGAAGCCAAAGACTCCTGGTGTCACCATCTTTGTGTTGATTTTTATTATTATTATTTTTTTTTTCTTGATATCTTGCAGACTCGCTCCTACGAATGAAGGAGGAGATGATGGAGGCGGATGAGTTCAACTTTTCCCAGGGCACCTCGGATCAGGAGAGTAATGGCTCAGGAACATTCTACATTAAACAGGAACCCTAAGGTCTGGGGTTCAAATCAGGACTCATGGAAGAAGGATTGTGCAAGAAGTCTGGAGAATCGGTGTGAGTTCAGATTACACCTACAGGCACATATTTCTAAACGGAGAAATAAGGTAATGAAGAGAACATGGTCAGTTCCTCGCCTGTTGAAAAAAAAAATATGGGTATCCTCCGCAATCATTTCCATAAGTGTGTATAGATTACAGATGTTAGGAGCTCCTTTCTCCTGTCTAAACATTCAACTAAGCTATTTTTTTAATATATGAACTATAAAACAACCTTTCCTACGTACTCCATGTCAGTTTCAGCTGCCCCAGGCCTGCATAAAATGTGATAACTATGTATTGAGGTGGGTCTTTTTTTTTTTTTTTGCTTGTTTGTTGGTCGATTTTCTTACATGTTACTTAGCCACTGAACACAGAAATTCTAAATCACCTGACCTAATAGAAGCTAGCACAAAGAAGAACAAGGTATTTTCTTTGCCTTTATTGTTTATTTACACATGATGTAGTTGAAATAATACTTGAATTGTTTCACGTGTTTTTGTCTTAATGTAGTTTTTACATTTGCTATTGATGGCTTGTGGTGAATCCTGAAATGTAAATTCAAGTGATTATAGCGATTAGTAAGTGGAAAACAACATTCAACAAAGTGAAAAGTATATGTATTTTGGGTTTTAATGATAATCTAGTCATCCAAAGTACTGAAAATGCTGCGTAAAATTGCTCAAAATCCTGACATAAAATTACTTCAGTCATTTTTTTTTCTTCCTAATTCGGCCGTTAACCACAAAGAAATTGGGTGAAATATTTTCCACAGGAAGCCGAAATGGAATGTGTTACAATCTATTGATTGACACAGAATTAGAAACACCCACATTAAAGCTACTTCAGCCCATATCTCTGTGAGCAACGAAGGTTTGGTTGCACGTTTTTGCCGCCATCAAATTTCGAACATGCTCAAAATTTCTTTACAACAAGAAAACGTATTTGAGACCATGAAAATTGTTGCAGAATGTCCTCACAACCATTTTGCAACCTTGAACGAACCCCGACTAAAAAAAACAAAACGAAAAAAACCATCCCTACATGCGTACACACTTGCAAACCTTCCCGCTCATTGAGATACAGCCTTTCAGAACATTTTGTGACATTGACTAACAATGTCACTCACATTTATCATCAGATAGATAAACGCTTGGCATGCTGAGACTCAAACCATTTTGTCGAGGTAGAACAGCAAGAGACAAAAGCTATGAAAAGATTAATGACGTTGGGAATTCAAACACCCCTTCATAATTAAAATATAAAAAGCACGTATGCGCCAGTGAATTTTTTAAGGCCATCCATCAATCGGAAGGGACCAGTTGTACTTTATAGTTAATAAGCCCTGCAACGTTAATATATATTGACATATCCATATGTATATACAGGGCTGCCTTTACCAACTCACAGGCCCCGGGCTAAGCATCAAATATCAGCTTCCCTCCCCTAGCTTAACCGAGATGCGAAACAAAATTTTCAACATTGACAAAACAGACCGGCCCACATTTATGCTCATCAATTGTAAGCAATAGAAGAGCCAACAAATCAAAAGGTTCACGCTATACAGTGGTACCTCTACTTATGAACGTCTCTTCATATGAAATTTTCAAGTTACGAAACGCCTCAACAGGAAAATATTGCCTCTTGTTACGAAGTAAGTTTCAAAATACGAAAGGTAAAAATACTGTATGGGATGCTTCTTGCAGCTCAGAGTTTCCTGAACGCAGCATACTCATAGCTGGTCTGCCATTGGCTATTACCGAGCATCTTCCTGGCATCCCATTGGCTAAGAGGGACCTCGACTGTATGTGTCTATGTGTGGAGATAGATGGATATGTGTCTATGCAGCGTCCTCGTCATTCGCACCTCAGACCATGAGGCGTTCCGATAGTTTTACATAAATGGGAATCACCCAGAAAATTTGGGACATTTTCGGAGGATTGTTAAAAGCCGACAAAAGTAAACGTCCTTGGATCAGTTCATTACAAAACGCCAGGCAAAAAACACTTCTGAGAGAGAACATGAACTAAACGGGGCAAAATATAAGGACGCAGTTAAAAGTTAAATGACCATCATTTTTATTTTTTATTCTTTGTTTATTACACTATGCACAACTCTCATTTATTGTGCACTAATCTAATTGTAACATGTATTTGTTACGTATTTTGATGCATTTTTATGCTTTAGAAAACATTTATGTCTGACTTTTGGGGGCGTGGGGTTTGGAATGGATTAGGGCATTTACATGGAAAACGCGTCTCTGCTTACAAAATTTTCGAGTTAAGAAATTTCTTCCAGAACCAATTAATTTCAGAAGTAGAGAGGTACCACTGTACTTTTTTTATAACCCAAAAGTGCATTTTTTTTTTGTGTTTGAATCTTTTTTTTTCACTTCTATGAAAAAAGAATATTAATTGTATTGCACTGATAAAAAAAAACTACACTCAACCAAATTAGAACACACTTGTTCATGTCAAAATAGTATTTTAAAAAGTCAGAAAAAAAATTACAAAAGCATACAAAAGACACCAGAGCTCCGGAACGTTGGTGTCACACATCCCACCCTGTGCCAAATGCAAACGTCATTTTGGCAGCGTAGAAAGCTTGTTGATCTAATTTGAGGAAATGCCATGCTTTGCTCATGGTAGACAGGATGCCACAACAGCAGCGGGCAACACAAAGGGGCAAGCATTCTACAGGCTACCATTTGAAGAACCAAGGCGTAGCGCCGGTGTTCAGGTGGACGGATCCTCCGTCCCGCACAAGAGGAAGGATGCCCTGCGAATCTGTGGCGGACCTTCTAGTGCAAGGGTGCCCATTACGTCGATCGCGATCGACCAGTAGATCGCAGACTGGTCCCAAGTCGATCGCTCGGGGTGTAGAGGAGAAGAAAAACAACCAACCATTTGTGGGTCTTTGTGCATGTTTGTAATATATATTTTTTTGTTAACGTACACTGCACCCGAATCATCCTATCAGTCTTATTTTCACAAAAAGTATTTAAACATAAAATAAAGCAGATAAATCCCTTAACCTACGGTGACGCATAACCTGCGTCACCGCAAGTTGTTGGGCGCGCAGCCGTCTGCAATTGCAGCTTATGATCAGAGCTGTCGCCCTCCATCTTTTATCGTTAACCTTATTCTCATTCAGAGTTTGTTTCATGTACAATTCACCGAGGGCACGGGCAAAGAATAGTAATCTAGAGAGCCGAGGGAAGCACTTTAAAACGGTACGTGTGAGCTACGATAGTTAACAGGCTGCAAAAGTGCGTCACATGCCTCCGTGTCACACTGTTGGTCATCATGGCGTGCGCGTATATGTGCGTATGCGGTAACGAGTTGATCGCGGTTGGTTGATCGAAAAGTCGATCTTCGGTCCAAAAAGTTTAGGTACCCCTGTTTTAGTGGGTGCCGCATTTCTCTCGCCCTCTGAACAAGGCTTTGGTGAGCTCGGCCAGCCCCAGCCGGCCTTCCGCCTGCCTTTCCCAGGAGCAGCCACCATGGCCAGCACCAACCGCCAACGCAACTCCCCATCCGCCCACCCGCCAGCCTAGCCTAGTCCTTGGCTCTGAGGCAGCCTGTTGGATTCTGCCAGTATGGTTGTCTCAATGATGAAGCCATACTCGTCTTACGCCCCATAACCTCAACCAATTTGGAACCTTCCAAGCCTTTGTATGATCAGGTTCTCCCCATCCGCCACTGCGATAGCAGCTACTATCCTGCCCCTCAAACTACGCCACTGAAGCACAAAACTGCGACTGAGCCGGCGTTTATACACCAAAACACAGAACTGCCAAATTTTACAGAATCAGTGAGTGAACACTAACTTGTTGCAACTGGCGCGCATGCTCTCTCTCTCTCTCTCTCTCTCTCTCTCTGTGTCTCTCTGTCTCTCTTTCAGAACTTGTGAGTGTGTGACTCGAAAGGCGGGCAGTTGCATCGTGACGTGGTCATACTCGTTGACTTGCTTTGAAATGGTGGCACCCCCACAGCAGCTTTGCTGACGAAAGAGAACTTGAAAGAACCAATCAAACTATTTCTAACTCATTACTAATCAGTGCGGCTACTGTGACATACATAAATGATCCATCTTGACAAATCATGTGCTGTTTATGTTTTTATGTCGATCTGCGCGGCGTGTCACACCGCTGTAAAAAGTTTGTTCTGATGAACGGATTGGACTTTGGAGCATGCACACAGGTGACGACAAATCTTCAGTCGGTCGACATGACTCAAGTGCCCATGTAAAGCCGTTGGTAGTCATCAAATTATTTTTAATATTGTTTCTCATCAACTCAAAGGTGGAAATTTGAGTAAATGCTCGTTCCTGAGGTACATAAAGTCTTGAAACTGCTTCTTGAGAACTATTGTCGAAGAGGTGAATCCTCCAATAGACCAGTTTCCTCTCGAAATGTATTCTTTTCAATGGGTGTTCCAAACTTCCAAAACTTTTACTACTGATTATTTGTCGTATTCCAAGTAAGCTTTAAGCTCATAAACGCATAGCGATGAACCTACTGTATTATGTTGTATGCTAAAATGCTAGTTGCTCGAGCTAACATGCTGTTAACCCTCATGTGGTACTGTACAGACAGCAATGAAACATACATTTTTTACAATTTTGACAAACCGTGTCAGATAAGGGAGTAAACATTTTATTTTATTTTTTCAACCACTCAAAATGTTCAGAGGCATCTGTGCTCTCCATAAACATAGTTTTTATTGATTTTTTTTGTAGTTTTTGCCCTCTCTGGACAATAAAAGCAGTACTGTGCTGTGACCCCCAAATATATATATCTATATATATCTA